GGTAAGGATGCTTGGCCCAATCACAGTCCGATACGTCATATGACGTCACCGATAACGCAACAAAGACATACACTGCGCAACCTACTCGCGCCGCTTACCCAACATAGAAGGAGGTTTGAATCCAAAAATAGCGCAGCGAGATGACCGCCAGCTGCTCTCCGCGTAAAAGAATAGATGCACGGCTTAAAGTGAACATTCCGGTTTTGGCGGGGTACCGCGTAAACGTAGAAACACGTAAAAAAGAACCGGGTAAAGTGGGGTAATACTCTGTGTATATATATATATATATACAGTGACCCCTCCGTTAACGAACTCAATCCGTTCCAGAAGGTCGTTCGTTAACCGAAAAGCTCGTTAACCGAAACCATTGTTTCAATGGGTTTTTGGGTAATTGGTTCCAGCTCACCGAAAATTTCCTAAATTCAACAAAAATGGTAGAAAAGTTCACTTACTTTGAGGTGTGTATGTAGAAGGCTCCTGGATGATGATGATGATGATGGGATTTAGAATGGGGGTGGAGGAGAAGGAAGAAGAGAAGGCAGTGGGGTGGAAGAGAAGTCACCCCATGGTGCCATTTCACCCATAAAATTTTAGCTCTCTTGGTGTAATTCAAGATTATTTTCTTTAAATCAACACTGCACTGCATTATATATTGTCAATATGTAAAATATATTTCAAAATGACCAATAATTTGCTTGGAAACACAGAAAAAAAGCGTTTAGTTGAAGAGAGTCTCAAGCAAGATGTTACCTCCAGTGAAAACAGAGAGAGACTAACTCCTGTTTGCTGTGTTAAGAGGCTGGATGCCGCGCATTAAACTAGTCACTTTACCTTCAATTATGTTCAATAATTGTTAAAATGACTAAAAAATTGAATATTAAACTTTTAAAATTATTGAATAGTATAAACTTCTTGATATTTACTAAAATAGTAAGGAATTTAAGCCCTAGAACCGATTAATGTATTGGCGGACTGATACTAAAGCTGGTTGCCCGGTCAGTGCAAGCGAAAACATGTTGAGGTCGATTCGTAAGAACTTCGTTAACCGAATTTTTTTTCGTTAACCGAATTGAAGATCCTTATGGAAGGCAGTTCATTAATCGAAATTACGTTAACCGAGGTGTTCGTTAAACGAGGGGTCACTGTATATATACAGTAGTACCCCGCTTAACGCGGTCAATAAAACCCACAGGGTACCGTGTTAAGTGAAAACCGCGCTAAGTGAACAACAGAACATATGGGATTAATTCCAATAGAAACTGGCCCGATCCCCAAACTCCACTTTTTCCGACACAATACCTATGTTCTAGTAAAAATAACATCTTAATTTTATGATGGTACATGCACACAATTAATACTTAAGAGAAATAGAGAAATACAGTCGCCAAGTTAATGTCCATTCAAATAATGGACTCAACTCCCTCCCCCTCTTCTCACACTACACTGTTGGCTCTTCCCTCTCTGAGAAATTTTTGGGGGAAAACCACTAAATTTTAATAAATAATACCTCAAACTAAAGTTAGGATAATACAATTGACATTGCTGGATTCCTTGTAAGACCAGGAATATTTTGAATATAAATGTCATATATTTTGCACAAAAGATAACATATTTACTCAGAGTAAACATTACATCTAAAATTTGTATGTCGAATGCAAAATCTATGATGTTCATATTCAAAATGATCATCAAATTATAAGAATTCCAGCAATGTAAATTATATTCTGACCGGGTAATTTGTATGAATTTTATGAGCTAAAACAAATATCTTCAGTTAATAAAAAAAAAAAATATTCTTCACACTGTAACAGATGGTCGGTCGGTCCCTCCCTCCCCCCACCCCCCACCAACCGTCCCTACCAGATGTGTGGGAAAACCAGAATATTTACCTTTTTAGTAATAAATAATACCTCAAACTAAAGTTAGGATAATATAATTGACATTGCTGGATTCCTTGTAAGCCCAGGAATATTTTAAATACAAATGTCATATATTTTGCACAAAAAATAACATATTTACTCAGAGTAAACATTATACAGGTAGTTCTGCTATAACGCGATAATTGTGTTCTTGTAAAATATCGTGTTATAGAAAATCGCGTAATAGAAATAACAGGGCTTATGGAGAAAATAGGGTTAGGTGCAGATTACTCGAAATCGAAAAAATTTAGTAGTTAGCCTAACACAAAGGATAGCACAGTCTAAATAAATGTTACATTCATATCTAATAATGAAATCATACAGTAAATTTAACACTTTACCTTGAAAAAATATGAATGTAACTTGATGGGGGAGAAGGGTGATTTTGAGGTTGATAACATCGAGCTTCTCTTCAAGTGTTATATCCTTTCTTTTACGATAATCACCGGGAATTCTATCATCAGAACACTTTTTGGAGATATTCTTCTTTACCATATTCACAGTTAATACCACAAAATTGGAGAAATAGTAAGCAAAAATCGCGTTATAGCAAACAAGCGTTCGCGTTATACAAATATTGTTCCGAATTCATAAATCGCGTTAGAGCAAATTCGCGTTATCAAAACACGCGTTATAGCAGAACTCACTGTATCTAAAATTTGTATGTCTAATGCAAAATCTATGATGTTTATATTCAAAATGATCATCATATTGTAAGAATTCCAGCAATGTAAATTATATTCTGGCCGGGTAATTTGTATGAATTTTATGAGCTAAAACAGGCAGTCAGGCAGGGTGGGGAGTGGGGCGAATCTAAAAATAGCTCTCGAGCCGGACACTCACCGCGTATACTGGAAAAAACCCACGTTAAGTGAAAGTTCGCTCTGGCGAGGCACCGCGTATACGGTAAAACGCGCTAAGCGAAACCGCGTTAAGCGGGGTAATACTGTATATATATAGAGCCTGATTTACGCAATCAATTGAACCTGCGGAGTAGCGCATAAAACGAGAAACGCGTAAATGGAATAACAGAACATATGGGATTAATTGAAATAGAGACTGGGCCGACTCCCAAACTCCACTTTTTCAGACACAATACCTACGTTGTAGTAAAATTGACATTTTAATTTTATGATGGTATGCACACACAATTAATAATTAAGAGAAATATCAATAATATTAGGTTTTTTAACACTTATATTAGTAGAAAAGATGGCTGGGCACATGGGGATGGGGGGTTGGTTCCGAGGCAGAGAGCAGATTATTGGCCCTCACCTGTATCACTTGTATCAATTGTATCACTATCCACCACAGAGGCTTGCTGGGCCTCTTTGTCAAACCCCTCAAAGTCCATATAAATCCATATCCTCACTATCACTGACTTGGGCCGGCTGTGGTGGGTGGCGGGTGAAGAACTCGGTAATGTCTTGATGACTGGGCGACCTTGTGCGCACCCTGCCCGCGCCGCTTCCCATGTATATGAGTAGATGCATAGCGTAAATTGGGTATTCCGGTTCTGGCGAGGTACCGCGTAAACCGAGGTATTACTGTATTATTTTCGCATTTTCAACTTTTGACCAATTCGACTTACGATCTGGATTTGGGTCCCTAACCCCGTCGTAAGTCGGGGACTGCCTGTACATAAATAAACTAAATCATTTTGCATTGTTCTCACTGATGGACCGAGGTGGTGGAGTGATTGTGTGGTGGGTAGTGGAGTGGAGGAGGAGGAGGGTGGCGAGTCTCTGAGACCCGGTGGGTGGCTCCTCCTCCCGGTTTAAAACCCCCATTTTCATAGCAAGGCTAATGGACCAATGGTCTTAAGTTGCTTCTTCACAACAATAGTATCAGTAGCACTTGATGGGCGCTTGGAAGCCATTTCAAAAGTTTAGAGTACAGTATTAAAAGCAAAAACACTTAAACACCCATGAACGCTGTGGTAGCTTAACAAAGACTGGCGACGCCGTGACGCTCCGCCGCCAAGATGATGTGCTGTACAAAGATGTCCGTGACGATATTATACTGAATCGGCGGGACGTTATTCAAATCATGGTTATCTAAAGAATAGCGGCGTTATGACGAAACAACGTTATCAGGGGCAACGTAAACGAGGACTTACTGTAGTTGTAGGTCTATATGTATTGTGGAGTGTGGTGTGAGTGAGGTGCTGTGGTCATGGCAGTGGTGGGGATCATCTACATAGGTTTGCTCAGAGTTGTCTTGAAATATCAAAACAGGATTGAGGAGGATTACTTATTTAACATGATAGTATGGCGTTAGAGCAACCCTCACAATTTTTCCTCTGGGGTAGGGAACCCCCTCCCCCAAACCCCATCTTCTGATGTCCAGCACCCAAACTTGTCCACCAATCAGCTCCATCGTTACAAGAATACTACCCAATCATTCATTGATTTGCAATTGCAACATTGCTACATTTGCATAAACATCACCACAGGGGGCAAAGAAACTCTTTGAGGCAACTGTATATTTCTGCATGAAAATGTATAGACATACCTGAGTGTATACACACAGACACACACATATGCACATAGTGATGGATGATATTGACTCCCTCCCTTGGTGGGATTCTAAGTTGGCAGGATCTGGGTTTCAGCCAGGTGACCCTGAAACCTAGCTGCCTCAAGAAGCAACCATTGGGCTAGGAGCTCAAAGTATTAATTTAACCTTGGTACACCAGAAGAGAATATGCTTTGGAATAATTTGTAGTAGTCTGTCAGGACAATGTAGCTTGCCACTAAAACATATCAAGCCTCGTGGCCATGGTAATCACTGGTAGGAGTATTGTAATGGAGGTAACATACAGGTCTCTTGTTTATGAAATGGGATTTTGTGCCTCTGTTCTTCATTTTAGCTCCTCACAATAAAGAGGAAAGTAAAACGATGTGCATTATAATCACAACCAGTCTACTTATTAGGACTGTTCCAATCAAAAACAGGCACATAGTGGTCAGTTTTTGTTTGCATGAATAACTTAGAAATACTCTACAGTATATATTTAAGTGTTCAGAAGTTTATGAAAAAATTTAATGTGTCTACAAACAGTGATCACTTTGTCATCAGGTTTGCTGCTCGTGTGTGTTTTGACCCATGAAGGCACTGTCATGATGGAGAAGAAAGCTGTTCTTGGTCAGATACGGGACAATTTTACTGTTGCTACTGCTGCTTTGGCACCTAGTAAGTTTTAATATACTGTGTGTATATATATATTATATATATATATATATATATATATATATATATATATATATATATATATATATATATATATATATATATATATATATATATATATATATATATATACAGGTGTATATATATATACACACACACACACACAAGTATATATTTTCTTGTGTATATGTGCAGTATTTATTTACATATACTCTATTTCTTTTTTTAATATTAACAACATAATATTTCATACAAGTGACTCACCAGATGTGAGGTAACTAGCACTTACAGAACTGTGTTTCATCTATTGTTTTGCCAAGATGGTTTTAGCCCTCTGAGAATTTACAGAATTAAGACCACTTAGACCCTTTATTATTTAGTAAGTCACATACTGTATAGGGGATATAATACGTACACATAATTTTAAGATTTTTATTTTATTTTTTAGATTTTTACAGCTGTAGAGGAGAATGTATGCTCTGGGTGAGTTGAAAAGCTAACTCTGCCTTAGCTTCATGCCCAGTCCATCTTGACCTTAACTTTATGTCCAGTCCATCTGACCTTAACTTCATGTCCAGTCCATCTTGACTTTAACTTCATGTCCAGTCCATCTTGACTTTAACTTCATGTCCAGTCCATCTTGACCTTAACTTCATGTCCAGTCCATCTTGACTTTAACTTCATGTCCAGTCCATCTTGACTTTAACTTCATGTCCAGTCCATCTTGACCTTAACTTCATGTCCAGTCCATCTGACCTTAACTTCATGTCCAGTCCATCTTGACTTTAACTTCATGTCCAGTCCATCTTGACCTTAACTTCATGTCCAGTCCATCTTGACTTAACTTCATGTCCAGTCCATCACTTCATGTCCATCTTGACTTTAACTCATGTCCAGTCCATCTTGACTTTAACTTCATGTCCAGTCCATCTTGACATTAACTTCATGTCCAGTCCATCTTGACCTTAACTTCATGTCCAGTCCATCTTGACCTTAACTTCATGTCCAGTCCATCTTGACCTAAACTTCATGTCCAGTCCATCTTGACCTTAACTTCATGTCCAGTCCATCTTGACATTAACTTCATGTCCAGTCCATCTTGACATTAACTTCATGTCCTGTCCATCTTGACATTAACTTCATGTCCAGTCCATCTTGTCAGTCCATCTTTAACTTCATGTCCAGTCCATCTTGACATTAACTTCATGTTCTGTCCATCTTGACATTAACTTCATGTAATGTCCATCTTGACATTAACTTCATGTCCAGTCCATCTTGACTTTAACTTCATGTCCAGTCCATCTTGACTTTAACTTCATGTCCAGTCCATCTTGACCTTAACTTCATGTCCAGTCCATCTTGACCTTAACTTCATGTCCAGTCCATCTTGACATTAACTTCATGTCCAGTCCATCTTGACATTAACTTCATGTCCTGTCCATCTTGACATTAACTTCATGTCCAGTCCATCTTGACTTTAACTTCATGTCCAGTCCATCTTGACTTTAACTTCATGTCCAGTCCATCTTGACATTAACTTCATGTCCAGTCCATCTTGACTTTAACTTCATGTCCAGTCCATCTTGACTTTAACTTCATGCTCAGTCCATCTTGACATTAACTTCATGTTCTGTCCATCTTGACTTTAACTTCATGTCCAGTCCATCTTGACATTAACTTCATGTCCAGTCCATCTTGACCTTAACTTCATGTCCAGTCCATCTTGACCTTAACTTCATGTCCAGTCCATCTTGACCTTAACTTCTTGTCCAGTCCATCTTGACATTAACTTCATGTCCAGTCCATCTTGACATTAACTTCATGTCCAGTCCATCTTGACCTTAACTTCATGTCCAGTCCATCTTGACATTAACTTCATGTTCTGTCCATCTTGACTTTAACTTCATGTCCAGTCCATCTTGACTTTAACTTCATGTCCAGTCCATCTTGACATTAACTTCATGTCCTGTCCATCTTGACTTTAACTTCATGTCCAGTCCATCTTGACTTTAACTTCATGTCCTGTCCATCTTGACATTAACTTCATGTCCTGTCCATCTTGACTTTAACTTCATGTCCAGTCCATCTTGACATTAACTTCATGTCCTGTCCATCTTGACATTAACTTCATGTCCAGTCCATCTTGACATTAACTTCATGTCCAGTCCATCTTGACATTAACTTCATGTCCTGTCCATCTTGACATTAACTTCATGTCCAGTCCATCTTGACTTTAACTTCATGTCCAGTCCATCTTGACATTAACTTCATGTTCTGTCCATCTTGACTTTAACTTCATGGCCAGTCCATCTTGACTTTAACTTCATGTCCAGTCCATCTTGACATTAACTTCATGTCCTGTCCATCTTGACATTAACTTCATGTCCAGTCCATCTTGACTTTAACTTCATGTCCAGTCCATCTTGACTTTAACTTCATGTCCAGTCCATCTTGACCTTAACTTCATGTCCAGTCCATCTTGACTTCATGTCAGTCCACTTCTTGTCCAGTCCATCTTGACTTTAACTTCATGTCCAGTCCATCTTGACCTTAACTTCATGTCCAGTCCATCTTGACCTTAACTTCATGTCCAGTCCATCTTGACTTTAACTTCATGTCCAGTCCATCTTGACTTTAACTTCTTGTCCAGTCCATCTTGACTTTAACTTCATGTCCAGTCCATCTTGACCTTAACTTCATGTCCAGTCCATCTTGACTTTAACTTCATGTCCAGTCCATCTTGACTTTAACTTCTTGTCCAGTCCATCTTGACTTTAACTTCATGTCCAGTCCATCTTGACCTTAACTTCATGTCCTGTCCATCTTGACATTAACTTCATGTTCTGTCCATCTTGACTTTAACTTCATGTCCAGTCCATCTTGACTTTAACTTCATGCTCAGTCCATCTTGACCTTAACTTCATGTCCAGTCCATCTTGACCTTAACTTTATCTCCAGTCCATCTTGACCTTAACTTCATGTCCAGTCCATTTTGACCGTAACTTTATCTCCAGTCCATCTGACCTTAACTTCATGTCCAGTCTATCTTGACCTTAACTTTATCTCCAGTCCATCTTGACAGTCCATCTTGACCTTAACTTCATGTCCAGTCCATTTTGACCGTAACTTTATCTCCAGTCCATCTGACCTTAACTTCATGTCCAGTCCATCTTGAACGTTAACTTTATCTCCAGTCCATCTGACCTTAACTTCATGTCCAGTCCATTTTGACCGTAATTTGACCGTAACGTCCAACCATCTGACCCAACTTCTGTCCAGTCCATCTGACTTTAACTTCATGTCCAGTCCATCTTGACTTTAACTTCATGTCCTGTCCATCTTGACATTAACTTCATGTCCTGTCCATCTTGACTTTAACTTCATGTCCAGTCCATCTTGACATTAACTTCATGTCCTGTCCATCTTGACATTAACTTCATGTCCAGTCCATCTTGACATTAACTTCATGTCCAGTCCATCTTGACATTAACTTCATGTCCAGTCCATCTTGACATTAACTTCATGTCCAGTCCATCTTGACCTTAACTTCATGTCCAGTCCATCTTGACATTAACTTCATGTTCTGTCCATCTTGACTTTAACTTCATGTCCAGTCCATCTTGACTTTAACTTCATGTCCAGTCCATCTTGACATTAACTTCATGTCCTGTCCATCTTGACTTTAACTTCATGTCCAGTCCATCTTGACTTTAACTTCATGTCCAGTCCATCTTGACATTAACTTCATGTCCTGTCCATCTTGACTTTAACTTCATGTCCAGTCCATCTTGACATTAACTTCATGTCCTGTCCATCTTGACATTAACTTCATGTCCAGTCCATCTTGACATTAACTTCATGTCCAGTCCATCTTGACATTAACTTCATGTCCAGTCCATCTTGACTTTAACTTCATGTCCAGTCCATCTTGACTTTAACTTCATGTCCAGTCCATCTTGACTTAACTTCATGTCCAGTCCATCTTGACTTTAACTTCATGTCCAGTCCATCTTGACTTTAACTTCATGTCCAGTCCATCTTGACATTAACTTCATGTCCTGTCCATCTTGACATTAACTTCATGTCCAGTCCATCTTGACTTTAACTTCATGTCCAGTCCATCTTGACTTTAACTTCATGTCCAGTCCATCTTGACCTTAACTTCATGTCCAGTCCATCTTGACTTTAACTTCATGCCCAGTCCATCTTGACCTTAACTTCATGTCCAGTCCATCTGACCTTAACTTCATGTCCAGTCCATCTTGACCTTAACTTCATGTCCAGTCCATCTTGACTTTAACTTCATGTCCAGTCCATCTGACCTTAACTTCATGTCCAGTCCATCTTGACTTTAACTTCATGTCCAGTCCATCTTGACCTTAACTTTGTGCCCTGCCTCTCTTAACCCTTAATGTCGGGTAAGGAATGCAAGGAACATGAAATATCTAATGTTGTTGACTGACTTCTCTACAGTTGTTGTTTGCTGCCATTTCACCCATAAACTGTGGTGGAGTGATTCACCTGTCAACTTGCCAATGTGTGCAAAAAACCACATAAATTTTCCAAAAAAATAATTTAACTCTTGTGTATTAAAAGATAGTGTGTAGAAGAATGTGGAAACCCAATATGGGTTCATTACTTACCTTAGTTTGGCTCTGGTGAATTCGTAAGTCACTGGGTTGGGGGCCGGCAGAAGGCTACGCCATGAGTGGGATATGACAAGTGAGGGGTAAGGAGGGCGGGAAACACAGCAACCACTGACATGCAAGCATGATCAGCAGTTATCAAAATGCAATTATTTACCATATTTCCTTATTTTCTGTAAGTACAAAATTTATGAGGCAAACAGCCTTTTTCTCTTCACTTTTATATAATGATAGTTCTGAGTGCAGGTTGAGCAACAAGATCTCACATATGTTGTTGTTTTTTTCACTTTTTATGCTATTTACACTATTCACAACATACCACAGAATACTCAGTACAGTGATATCTCCATTAGCCGG